ACTTTTTGTTTATAATTCTCATTGGGTTTGATTATAGATTTCTATAATAGAATCGTCTTTTTTTTTTGTGTTGTTTATAAAGTTAATGTGTATGTTTCTAATATATGGTTTTACCTGATCTATTTACGGAGAAAAGAGTGATAAGATGTGTTGAAGTTATATAGTAACGGCCTTATTCATAAAAATTTCTTAAAATGCTTTTTAAATACATTTTAGTTAAAATGTATTTTAACTTTATAATGGCCTTATAATGCACATTATTCATAAACGTATTATAAACCTTTGATAACTATAATACAAATGTTAATAACATTACTGTTAAACACAAAACATTTTACAACACTGTGAGAAATATGAATTAATGCAGCACAAAAATAAAAATTTAAAAAATTTTTTAAGATTAATAAATCGTTATTTAATTTGCAATTTCATTAAAAGTTTTTTTCAATAAATGTTTTTAATATAACATTAGGTTTCTTTCGATTTGTTGAATTATCATCACATATTTCTTCACAGTCAGATAAGGAACTAAAGTTGATAGCCGCAGAAAAATTGTCATTATAAGGTATTTTGGAGTCATTTTCATTGTAAGTAACTGCAAGATTGTGCAATACTGCAAGTGCGACTATAACTGTTTTCGCATTCTCCAATGATATATTCAACCCATCTAGAAGACAACGAAATCTTTGCTTCTACACACCAAAGCATCTTTCAATTGTATTTCTGGTGGCAATGTGTGCAGCATTGTATCGTTCTTCTTTTGCGTTTTGTGGTTTCAGTATTGGAGTGAATAGGTATGGTTGAAGTTTGTATCCTGAATCGCCAACCAAGCGCCCTTTGAATTTTCCTGCCTCTAATTGTTCTTTAAGAACAATTTATATAATATTGGGAAATATCTCCACCCACTTTTTTAATTTTTATGTGTATGCAATCAATTGCACCAATCACATTTGGAAAATTTTTTATGCGTTTGAAGCTTTTCATATTTGCTTCCTCTTCTATTAATGATTCTGGCATTTTAATCACAGTTGCGGCATGTTTTGCAAGAGCCCTAGCTACTCTAACGCAAATGCGACTGACTGTAGCCTGGCTACGGCCGTGTAAATCACCTGCATCGTCTTGTACCTTTTATATTAAAAGCTTTTAGTATGTAATAGTATTTGAAAAGATTAGTTACTTCTCTACGACTCCAACATCGCAAAGCTACTAGAACTTGTAATCTTGCGGAAGCTCCAGCGCCTCTACTATCAAACGTTAAGTCCTGTTTCACCAAGTCAATTATTTTTTCTACGCCCTTTTTTGAAAATCGGTACCTCAGTTGAAATTCATCATCCCGCAGCATAAACGGATCACCACGTTGTTTATATATTTTTAAATGGCGACAATTTTTTGGCTATTCCATTTAAAAAATCTACACAATAGTTTCGTTTTTAATTGTATAAAAAAATAAAAAAATTATATAATTATATAAAATTATATAAAAAATTAAATTAAATACTCACCAATTTCTTTAATTATACTTATGGCATCCATATTTAATTGCAATTCACGCAATAAAAATTACTACACAATCAAAAATTGTGCTTAAAATGCTGTTATAGAAGGTATAAACCTATTATAAATTTTGACATATTTTAACAGCATTTTAACAGCATTTTAACTTTAAAATACGTTTATGAATACAGTTTTATAAATGCTTTATAACACTGTTAAATAACGTTTATGAATAACATTTTCGATAAAATGTATTACAAATCTACTATAACTTTTTATGAATAAGGCCGTAAGGATGTAGTTTTCAACCTAATACTAATTTTGTAATTGGTGATTGTATTCTATTTTTCAATGTTAGATCAAGGTGTAACTTTTGAATCCAAAATCAGTTTTAATGCAATGCGTGATGTATAACATTTGAGACGTAAGGTCATATTAGCAAGTTCATCATGAAAGTGTGATTTCATTTCTCAAAGATATGTATTTCTGAAAAATATAAATGATTACTCTGAAAACGTTCGATTGGGCAACAAAAATTGAGTAATAAGTCAAGATTTAACAATCAAAAATGGTATCTATCAAATAACTTTTTATGATATGCGTGGTAGTATACATAGATGGGTACACGGTTGCCACTTATGGTACTTTTGTACCAAAATTGGTACTTTTTTTTTTCGTTTAGTACTCATGTTCAAAAAATAGTACATTTTTGACGATCCAATTAATTTTTTTTATAAATGCAACTTTGCACTATTTTATATTTTGTTCATTTATAACACTGAAAAACACAGAACGAAATAATAAAAAGGTCCAAAAAAATGTTGGACCTTTTTTTACAGAAATGGTACCTTTTTAAACCAATTTTGGTACAGGAAAAAATTTTCAAGTGGCAACCGTGGATGGGTATTCGGTTGGAGTGCAATTTAGGTCTCCATCCAAAAAAAAATTTTAAACATAGAAATTGTTTTGAAATTTTTTTGGAATTTTTAATATGGAAAAAGAAGGATCCTTTGTTAGATGACGAAGTAAAGACAAAAATAGTGTGAGAAAAGTGTGCGGTTTTTTTGACTTATACGGTTCCTTAATCGGTGAAACATAAAAACTTAATTTGTCACCAAATTTTCAGTGTTAAGGAAAGTAGATAGGTGTAGTCACGGTTGCCACTTATGGTACTTTAGTACCAAAATTGGTACTTTTTTTTCGTTTGGTACTCATGCTCAAAAAATGGTCTAGAGATTTTTTCTGGACTTTAATATTTTTCGTGCACATGCGTTGGTATTGTTGCTACCCTTACTGCATTTATATAGAAAGCAAATTATTAAAAGCAAGAGGATTATATTATTCAAATATATTATTCATTTGTTAACTATTGTTAATTATAAACAGAAACTAAAAAAATTGGGGTAGCGAAAACGGCGAATTTTTTGATTTAAAATCAGATTTTATACGTATTCTCATTCCACTAAATATTTCCACCTAATAAATAACTAAAAACTTATTGACTACTAGTTCGATAGTAACTCTAGAAGCTGTTAATGTGTTCTGCTGATGGTTCACATTATTTCTTATAACACTGGTATATACAGGGAACTAGTGAAAAAAAAATTGGTAATAACTACAGAGCTTTGCAGGGTAGTTATTTAGGTTGAAACAGAGACCGTTTGTACTCCGTCTGTATATCATAATATTTTAAATAAATTAAGGTGATTATTGCTATATTTATTAAAATAAATTCAAGCAAGAAAATTTTATATTATATTATTGCATCCAAAATGATTTAAAACAACTGGTCCTTTAATTGGAATATTTTTGAACTAATTTTTATATTTAATTTTGATTAAAATTTTGCTGATGGAACAAATATAGATATTTAAGGCAAATTAAAAACACCGCTTTTAAGAAATGTGATTATAAATCAATAATTGAAGTTTGGCGGTGAATTACAATTTCATTTCTCTTAGGTTTAAGTACTCAGGTCCAATACCATTTAATAAATTTAACTTATACATATTTAAGGTTTAGTGAGGTTAAAAAACAAAATCATCTATACAGAATAAATGGATCTTAATAAAATGACTAAGGCATGTAAGTAAAAATTAAGATATAATTATTATAATAGTCCTTTATTATATCAAATATACTTAATTTTATATAAATAAATTCATTAAAAAACTATAAATCAATAAACTTAAATTTTAATGGAATATTGGGCATATTGAATATAAGCGGCTTAAACGCGTTTTCAGTTGAGTGATTAAATTCCACTTTAAAATTTCTTATAATCCGCGCCACACCTAACTCTAATTCCAATTCTGCAATACGTTTACCAATACAAACCCTTGGACCATAGCCAAATGGCAAGTAAATGAAAGGGTTTGTTGATTTCATAGAGCCCGGACATTCAGTTGAATCTTGTTTGATGCCTCTCATCCATCTCTCAGGCATGAATTCATTTGCTCTTGGAAAATGTGTCTCATTTTTAAGTAAACTTTCAGCCATCATTACAACTAGTATACCCTTTGGCACCTGATAACCACTTAATATCACATCGTTTTGTAACACACGAGTATTACCAGGGCCTAGGGGATAAACTCTAAGCGCTTCTTTAATGCAGCATCTCGTGTAATTTAGCTCCTTACGAATATCTTCTGTGAAAGGCGTGTCTTTTTGTGGCATAATACGAAAGAGTTCTTCACGTAGCTTCTGTTGTTTTTCTGGAT